CCATACCCCGTCGTCTCGCCGCCAGATCCACCACCACCCCCGTTGTCACCAACAACACAAGCATTACCACACCACAATCACAACCCAACAAAAAAACCCCAAACCCATCACTGCCACAATCTTCACCCCTGTCACTGCTACCTAGATCCGCCGCACTAGATTCACCACAACACCACACCATACCGCAACCACACCATACAGTACCTGACTAGAGTGGATCTCGTCACATCGTCGCAACGCTGCACTTCACAGCAGCATCGGTTTACAAAAGCTGAACAGGGAAGAAGCGCTCTCACACCCATCGTCGTCGCCTTCGCCGTAGTGAGCAGAGAAGAGGTGGTCATGAATCGCCTCGATTTGTGTACCGACAAAACCATAGATCTGCACGAAGAGGCTTCGTAGTTTGTTAGATCTGGTGGTGGAAGTTGTTGGCGACAGCCTTCTTTTCGACGGGCTTCAATTTCGGACAGAGAGAGAGAGAAATGAGGGAGAGAGAGCGAGTGAGTAGTGAGAGAAAATGAGATTGAAAATGAATTATGATTTATTTGAAATATTAGTATTATAATATTATTTAAATCAACAAAATATCCAATTAATATCTGATTTTTGATTAAATAAACTTCGTACCTGAATTTTGAATTCAGAAGTTTAAGTACCCGGTTTTATGTAATTTTCCCTTATATTTTTTTTAATTTGAACAATTTTTTGAAAATTTCTATTATTTTTAACATATATAATGAATTCTTTCCCAAAATTAATTTATAAATATGTTTGAAATTATGGAGCATTTTCTTTTTATAATTTTTTGGGATTTATTCAGTTCATTATCACATCATTAGTTTTTAGTTTATCGTCAAATTATTTTGCATTTGTACATAGTATTCATACCGATCAACCTTTGTAAAAAAAAAAATGGAGGGTTGTACATTCTAAATCGGTAAATCCTTCTCTTGTTTTCCACTATTGTGTCTATTTAGGTTTTTCTATTTTAGGTATTGATTTTTTTTAATTCATCGAGTTGGGTTGAGTTAAATTGAGTTTTAATTCATAATCCGATACACAACCCAACTCAACCCAACCCAACCCAACCCAATCCAATCCAATCCAACCTCAAATTTAATTTTCTAATTCAATTGAACTTAAAAACCAATACAAACTGGTCGATTTGGATTGGTCGGTTCGAGCGATTTGGATTGCCCAGCCCTAACTACATGATTAGCATGAATTTGAGATAAATCCTCTAATTTTAATTACACGTGTATCATAACAAAATAAACGCAAACAAATAAAGTAGCACAGTAGGCCATTGAGTACTTTCTGACTAATATCAAATTTTTAGGGGTTTCATGAATGTAATCACTGAATTTTGTTATGGTAACTACTTGCTCAGTAACCATAACAAAGTTCAGTGACAGTCACTGAACTTTGTTATGGTTACTACTTGCTCATCGATCTTTAAAAAGCTACCCGTTGCTCACTAGACTTTACTATTTGTTACTGCTTGCTCACTAAAATTTAAAAATTTACTCGTTGTTCACCTAAATTTGAACAAAGTTATTCATTGCTCATTAAACTTTACTATATATGGCAATTATGGAAATGATATGAGTGATTAATAGGTAACTTTATTCAAATTTAGGTGAGTAACAAGTAACTTTTTAAATTTTGATGAGCAAATAGTAACATATAGTAAAATATAGTGAGCAAAGAGTAAACTTTTGAATTTCGATGAGCACGTAGTAACCTATAACAAAGTTTAGTGACCATTGATTGAATTAACTCCTCACATTTTCCTACCTAAAGGAAATTTGGGCGATGATGTGATGACTGTAATCAAAATCAATAGTGTAACTATAGCCATGTAAAAGAATGTAAACATTGATGTCAATCACGATGTGCATATAGTATGGTTGAAGAAAAATTATCCCTAATTCACGTGGGCTCGTTTTTCGGGTGTGGGGGGTGGGATGGGGTACGGGGCGAGTTAAGGAAGAAGAAGAATTATTTCTAATTCATTTGGTTTGTTCGTACTTTTTAAAAATATTTGGGGTTATAATTGCAATTAATTTTTAATTTTTTCCTTTTTTTTATTTGAATGAATGGTATATTCATCATTTCACAATTTTTTATTGAAAAATTGGATGACAGAGGTATTCCATCCTAAAGATTCAAATATGGATGTTTGTGCTATTTTCAAAAGGTCGGAAATTTTCCATTCTATATTCAATAGGTAGGGGTTTTGCACTATTTAACCTAATGAAGAAGGTATATAAAATTAGTGAAATTACTATCTATCCCTGTTTGGTGTGACTTAAAAATTTAAATGAAATTAAAATGACTATCGATCCTTGTTTAGCGTGACTTAAAAATTTAAATAAAAGCTAATAATTAATTTTAATCACATTTCATAGATCGATAATTTTTATCAATTTTTCAACTTCACATTTTATCAATATTTATTAAAAAACCTATCTTTTAGCTACGTGTGGAGTATATGTTATAAATATAATTATTTTGTTCAGAAGTCAAAGTCAAATATTAACGTCCACCACACTTTTCTAATTAATTACTATTCGTACTTTTCTATGTTCAAATGAATAAATTTATCAATGTCATAATTTCTGATTTAACTATCATCGAACTTTAATCCCCTGTTTGACAATCATTTTTTCAAAACTCTTTAATTCATATATTAATTTTCAACCACACATTTAGAGTCCGTTTGAACTTCTTTTTTCTTAAAAATGCATTTTGAAATAGTAGATTGATGAGAAATGTGTTATTGAAAAATAAGAAAAAGTTTTGAATTTACATGTAATATTATTTTATTAAAAAATGTATTTTGAAAATAACAAGAATCAAATAATGGTTTAAACAATAAAATATTTTTTACGTGGTTCGCGTGGAAATCGAGTCTCGCATACAATTAAAAGAAGGTTCAGACAATTTTGTAAGGAACAACGACCTGTCGAGACAAAATCCCAACGAGGGTGTTTTATTGATGAAAATTACAATATGGACGAAGCGAAATGCCTCCGGGGCACAAACACACTGAATTTGTAAAGTAATTTAAGGTTAACAAGAAGAAAGGAAATAAAATTACATAATTATTTGTTTGAGAGTCTTTTGATTCCTCCTCACTTCTAAATTCTTCTCTCTCTTTTCTACTCCCTTGACAGTTTTCATTGTAGAACCGTTTGAAAACTATTTCTCGCTCTGTAACTACCCGCTTTCTCCATTATGGATGGCTTGTCAAAAAACTACTGTTTTCAACCGTTGCTATTACTCTCATCACTTAGCTTCTTGCAATTGAGATTCTTGGATCATGAAATGTGATAAGATTACCCATTAACTATTTCAATAACTGTTGTTTCGAACAGTAACCAAAAAACTATATCCACTCAGATCTTTGACGTTACATGGGTTTGAGCGATGACAGGCTCGCCCAGATTTTGGACGCCTCTTAGGCTTGAGCGATGATGAGCCTCCATTACATAACTCCATCTTTGATTTTTATATGGTCTCGTTTAGGTCCATCCTTCGAATTTTCTAACTGGGCTTTGTTCTTTGGACAATTTAATTGGGCCTCATTTTTTGTATGTCAATAGTACGCAAATTCAAAATATTTTTTGCTTTTTAACCACACATTTTTTAAAAAATCACTATTTAAAACTATTTTCTCAAGTATAATGGCCACCAGACATGGCTAAACATAACATGTAAAAACTACTTATTTTAAGATAAATAACTTAATTGACCCAAAAAAGAAAAGAAGATAGATAACTTATAAATTTAAAATTTGAAGCTTAAACGAACGGAACACTAATGCCTAGATCGTGATGCGCCAGAATACGTAGTGGGCGCAGCGCAAAACGTGGAGATTAACATAAACAAAGCAATACGGACCCATCATAATTCATAAATTAACAAAAGCCCTTCGCCGGCCAAATTCAGATTTCAACGCCTTACAAATTTCTCAGATATCTTCCAATTTCTTTTTGTTTCGAGAAAATTTTCATATGTTTCCGCTTGATTTTGATTAAAGTATAAACAAGAAAGGCTGGTCATTCTGTCTGTTTATATTCAGCTAAAAAGAATCAGCTTTTGTGTATTTGGGTTCGTTCAAAGGTAATCAGGGCATCCCTTTCGTTGATTATTTTTTAGTATGTGGTTATATATTGGGAATTTAGATTTAAATTTTTGTTCTAATATTCTATGTAGCTGTAGAAGATCAATTATTTTCCCGTGTGACTGCTGATATACACAGGAAAAATTGCTGAAAATATGTTTACTACGCACTTATCCTTTAGCTAAAGAAAATACAGGAGTGCTAATAGAAAAACTTGGCTTCGTTAAAGATTATTTTTAAACTGATCTGGCTTTAGAAATGATTAAGCTTTGCTGAATAAACTAATCTCGTTTGAGCACTAAATTTATGGTAAATTTTCCATTATGCGTGTTTCTGTTGTAATTTCAATAAGATCCTCTGTTTGCAAATGGCAATTCCATTTCAGGTTAGTGGTTGGAAGTTAAAATAGTATGCGAAAGATTCCGCGTACATATATCTGATTTTTCAACTGCTCAGAACCCAAATGGGATGTGAATGTAAACCGTCTTAATTTTTGAGGGGTGGGGTGGGAATTATGGTTAGTTTGAGCTGACTGAAGGTACCTTTGAAGTTGTATGGAAATTATGGACAGATAATTGTGAATGAATAAGTGAGAAAGAATGTTTAGTTGTGCTTAAAACTAAGACAAACTCAAAGTTACTTTTAAGTTACTTATTTGTCAAACATGATTTCCAAGTAACTTTTTATTAACAGAACTTACTTTCTAGAAAAGTATCTTATAAGCACAACCAAACATGGTTACCCTCCTATTTCGGGGCCGCCCATGCACGTGTCTCTATTTAAGCCAGTAAGTAGATGTGGCTTTCTAACTCCGTATACATATTTGGTGCAGGGGCTCTAACACAATCCCGCTTTGTAGTGGTAATTGACAATGGGAGGTGTACATGGTAAGAGTGAATCTCCTACTGCTTCAATACCAGAGACAAAGCTCGAGGCCAAAGTGATCGAGGCAATGAAGAGGAGAGAAACTAAAGGGAGTTCCTTGAAATCATTTAACAGCATTATCTTAAAATTTCCCAAAATTGATGGGAGCTTTAGAAAATGCAAAGCTACATTTGAAAAGTTCGGTAGGTGTCCTTTGATTGATAGATAATTAGAAGCTGACCACAGATTGCCTTAGTATTAGATATCTGGATAACTTGCTGGAGGCAGTTTCTTTTTTCCAAATTACTTCGGAAATTCATAATTTGAATGGTGATTTTAATAACGTTTGTTCTCTCTCTCTCTCTCTCTCTTCCCGCATAGATGAGGATGGAAGTGGTGCAATAGACCCGCAAGAGCTGAAGCACTGTTTCCTCGAATTGGAAATTAATTCCACAGATGAAGAAATCAATGATCTTTTCGAAGCATGTGATATTAATGAGGACAGGGGAATGAATTTCAATGAATTTATCGTCCTTCTTTGCCTTGTCTACCTTCTGAAAGATGATCCTACCGCCTCGCATGCTGTATCCTATTGTATTTAGTTTATTTCTTCCTCTTGTAGTTAGCATTTACAGCACTTTTCACTAAGCTTAACTTGTTTACGTTAATCTTTTAAGCTTAGCTTAGGTAAACATCCTGTTAGTAATTTACCTAATCCTTAAAATGTGTTGCTATTGACTCGTGTATGCCTTAAATGAGCGTGTCTATCTTTCATCTTCAAATTGTTTTATATTCCAATATTGTCAAGATCTCGACTTTTCTCCTTCTTTCATATGCACATTTTCTTGTTTACACTTGTAAGGGTGCATAAGTTTTTCCCTCAATAGATATCACCGATGCTCTTAATTTTTCTCATCTATGTACTCAGTTTTGTTCGGGACTAGAAAGTTATGGAACATATCTTCTTTCAGTATGGCATTAAAGAAACCATTAAGTCGATCCTATCTTGATTTTTTTTTCTGCATGGTCATAACCCTTTATTGGATCCAGGTGTCTTGAAGAACATCTTGAATTTAGAGCACAAATTGAACTTCAAGTTCTCTATTTTTGTTTTCTTCAAGATTACATGATGAGGTTACAAAAGAAGGCTCACTGAAAGATTCTCTGAAATGTTGGTCTTCTCTTTTGGATATGTTTGCAGATTATACTTGAGGAATTGGACATCTGATTGACTCTCAGAGCAGGGTTTTCTTTTGAATAATGCTCCTTGAACAGGGGCTTTTGACGGTGGGGGGTGTTTTTTTTTTAAAACCGTCTAATCATGTATCGACACGTGCCTCGTTTTTAAACCTGTCATTGATTGTGTCTATTATATTCCCTGAATGTACATTTCTGGCTGTTAATTCCTTGATAATTTATAGAAATCTCGAATCGGAATGCCAAATCTTGAAGCTACGTTTGAAACATTAGTTGATGCATTTGTGTTTTTGGACAAGAACAAGGACGGTTATGTTAGCAAGAATGAGATGGTTGTAGCCATACATGAAACTACTTCGGGAGAACGATCTTCTGGGAGAATAGCCATGAAAAGATTTGGTCAGTACTCTCTCTCTCTCTATCATATATGCACTTTTGGATAAATTTCGTTATATTTATCTATACTCTAGAGCCGCTAACAGCACCCTTCGCACTGTTATTTCAGAAGAAATGGACTGGGATAGAAATGGAATGGTGAACTTCAAGGAGTTTCTTTTTGCTTTTACGCGTTGGGTTGGAATTGAAGACGCTGAGGAAGACGTCTGATCCAAGATTTTCATTCTGCAGTTAAAAAACAGCTTGTTGCCTTGCCAATGGTATCAAACTCCAAGGTTTTTAGATTTTGTCCTGTAAATAGACTGCAGATGAAAATTTAACTGCAATAACATTCAATAAGATGAAACGCCACGTATCTGCTGCATTGTTAAGACTGTTTCCTGTAGCAATGGTGCAATTTTCATGATGTTTTTTAATATATGGATAATCGTATCATTTGAAATTTGAACGCTTTTACTTGTTAGATAAGATTTTTTTTTTTTTAATAAACGTGAACGTTTGGACAAACTCGTGCGCACCTCAACTAATTCCATGGAATCCTGAAATTTACGGTCAAATACTCACTTTAGTGGCCTGAGGAGGCTCGAACGGATGACCATTGAGGAGCAAACCTGACCAATTGAGCAATCTCTCGAAGTTCTTGTTAGATAAGAATTAAACAAGTGTTTTCCTTGTTAAGCTAGCCAAAACAAGTAGAAATCAAATTAAATCACAGAACATTATAATACAAGATCACGCAGAAAAAGAATGCTCTAAAATCTTTTTTGTAGCAAATCTCCACTTGATACAAAACATGGCCAACCCATCTGAAGAGCAGTAGGGTGGATCACTTTGTCCTCACTTTAGCATACAAATCATATCTTAAGACATGCCCATATCACCAAGACTCTCTATGCAAACTTGCAATAAATGAAATAACACCACAGTGTTGGATAGAGAATGTTCTAATCAAACTGCCTTTAGCAACATACACACGCATACCCCAGGCCCGAAGGGATCATTAGTACAAAATACCGTTTCTATATCTTCCCAAGCCGAATATAAACACACCACCCAATATCATATAGAGACAAGTTAGAACTGACACTTAACAGTGCCGGTGCCCCAAATGGCAGTAGGAGGCATTTGCTGGCACTGCAATATATGTGGCATAGGAATTGCTGTTTAGCGGCGGAGAAAAATACATAAGCTCTACTACCCCCGAGTTTTTGCTCTCTTCATCCCGAGGCTGTTGTGGAAGGGGGACACAGAACCAGACATTTGAGAGCCATCTTCACGAAGTGTACCATTTATCATCGCAAGTTCCCGGAGCTGCTGCTTCTTGTAGAAATCTTGAGATTCATCCTGCATTTATGTAATTAAGAATATAAAGATTTATGGCAGTGGGTGAACTTATCTAAAGCCTAACAAAATTTTATTGGTCATGGAAGCTACTTGAAAAAATAAGATAAAAAGAAAAAAAGAGCAAGTTATCCAAACACGTTAGGAAACAAAAAGCTAAAATACCTTTTTTGAAACTTAGCCAAACAAGCTCTAAACTTTAGTAGCAAAAATCAGGAATAAGTGTCAAATATCCTATGGAGAATAAGGTAATGGATTATATCAAGGTCAAAGTTTACCATTGGCTTTAGCAAATCCTCTAGTATCTCACGAGCCTGCATTAGTCGAGCATCAATTATCTCAACTGGCAATTCAGCCTCAACAAGTATGTGAAGAGGTTCATTCAGGTGCTCATAACCTGGTTTCCCCCTCATCATCTCTTCCTTCATATTAAACAAAAGGAAAAAAAAAAAAACCTATTAGATTGTTGGATTGCTAAAAAAACCCAAATATCACGAATAGCAATGATGAAAACTGGCACAAAGTTGTACACAGAAAGGAGTGCAGATATAGCTAACTTCATTATTTGTGACATAAAAAACCAACCAACCAAAAGATTTCCCTAATTTTTGCAAGTAACATCTCGAGGAATTTCAATATCAAGAACCAACTGAAGACCTTTGATGTCACATTTAAATCATAGAACGGCCTACTTCAACATTTTCCATAACATGAATTAATTTGAAGCAACCGAGGCACTTTGAAAAACTGCACCATCAACCGATGTATGCTAAACTTAGAATGACAAGCATTAAACTCAACATAAAATTGGCAATCTATCTATGAATCAGAATAACCACAAGAACATCCTACATAACACACACAAACATTAGGTCAAGAGTTGGTGTTCAAGAAAGAAGAACACGAAAATCAAAAGAAACTAGCACTGCACTGAGGAAGCCTGAGGTTGCTCAGTACTGATCAGTAAGTTCACTTCTCCACCTTGTTCTCTCAAAGGACAAAATGAACAACGTAGGAAAAACTACAAAAAATAATTCATTCCAAAGTTTGCAAGTTACTGTTGACTCGCTTAGCTGCTATTACAGACAGAGCCCAAGCTCGTCCTAATATAAATCTGTAATTTACAATATAAACAAAAAAGAAGGAAAACAATTTGAAAACTTAAAAAAAACACCCACAAAAAAGGTTCCCATTCAGATAGAAGTTGATGCAACTAAATGTCTGCACTAATGCACTATAGACATCTTATCTTGTCAATGCTTAAAAAATACAATATTAATATTACTCTTCCTGGATCCTTGATGCTGCCTCGCCCTCTGATCAAAACACGACACTCTGTAGTTGCTTCCACTCGCTTAAGAGAGTTTCCTCTAGGACCAAGGAGGCGTCCAACAAAATTGTACTGCAAAATGGAGCATCCAATATGAAGTGTTAGATTTATGTAAAAAACCTACTCTATGAAATTAAGAGGAGAAAGAGGATAAGTAGTACATTAGGATACTGATCCACGGGAATATCGACTCTCATTGTTTGCTTGACAATAAGACCCGATGAGCTACCTTGGGAACCAAGCCAGTTTTGTGCAGAGGAGGGTTGCACCAAACCTGACATCTGCACATTATATTTCCTAGTATAGTCAGAACAGAAAATATAAAAATATCACACTTTCCTTTCCTTGATTCATTTATAGCATAACTGTTTTAATTGAAAAGGGGCAAGATGACCATATCTCATTAAGCATGTCAAAAGGCCAGCAGATTATAGCTGCACAAGTGTTCCACAATGCAACTCTAACAGATAAAAAATGGAGTTATTAAATGCATGCTACTGGAGACGTGCAACCAGCAATTCAGTTTGGTGCACTTCAACATTAAATGGCATTATGCTTTGCACATAACAAGAGCATATACAACAGCTAGTCAGCAGAACAGTAGCTTTAAAAGTTTGTTAGAACCCGAATATTAGATTTGGATCTGAAAGAAAAACAATATACTAGAAATTTATGGGAGTCAGGGAGTGACACCCATACAATAGGATCAGAATTATAGAAGGTATCCAGTTGTCTCAGCCCCCTAAATGTTAAATGTCATATAATTCTGGAAACTGGTTAATATATCTTGCATGTCCAAGGGATGTTGGCTTATCAAATGTAACTATAACGGTGAGATTCCAAATTCGAGATGCTTGCCTAATACTATGTAATCATTCTTGAAGTTGTTAGCTTCAACTACCTGTCACGAGAGAAGTGGAACTTAAAAGTTAAAAGCACTATAAAGAAGTAATCAAGTTAGGATGAATGTAAAAAGATTCTGCTGGAGAGCTTCTTAAAAACAGTACAGAATTAGATCAAACAAAGTGTTATGTTAATAGTTAGTATCCATACTTCTGATTGAAAAGGTGATGCCCATCTGTTCACATTAGCTCCTCCATTCGAATACATTCCTCCTGACGCCAGGGGGCTTGCATGTTCAACAAGCCCACTTTGTTCTAATACTGACGCATTCCCCAACAGTGTGGTTACACGCAATATTTCTGCTTCAAAAAGGTCAATTTCCAAGAATAAGATGCACCAGTTAGCATTTGTTAAGAAATTAGTCAGCAGTCACCACAATATGGACAGACAACACGGTTTGTTAACTGGTTAGTTAAAAAACAGTAGCTCTCATTCAGAAGATT